CCCCTACTCCCTTCTCTCCCCGTAATCCCAACCCCCTTCCCCCACCATACCTCATAGTGTTTGCCAAAATTATATATTTTTCAAAATTATATTTTTTTGACTTACTAATCAAACACTAGAAAATATATTCTGAAAAATAAAATTCATTCACCATCCAAACATGGTAAAATAATTCTAATAATGTTCATTTTAGCAATAGAGGTAAATGGTTCTTGATAATCTACGCTATAAGCTTGAGTGAATCCCTTGGACATCACTCTTGCTTTGAATCTTCCAATCGAGTCATTAGCTTTGTGCTTCACGTTGAAGGCCCATTTGCATCCCACCAACTTCTTGTCTAGTGATGAAGTGACAAGTTCCCAAGTTTTTATTTTTTGACAAGGCTATCAATTCTTCAATTATAGTTTGCTTCCATTTAGGACTGCAAGATTTTTCCTCCCGTTCTGGGGAATAGACACAAAAGAAATAGACAAGGCAAATGCTCTATAGGAGTAAAACAAAGAATTATAGGAAACAAATTTAGATGAAGGGTATTTGGTGGTGTAAGATCTGATTCCTTTTTCGGTTGCGGATAGCTTTATGTCCTGGTGGAGATTTGATGTTGACGTCTCGAATTAGAAACACCAACACCGATGGAAAACCCTTTCTCATTTAATCCAGAACTAGCAGGGTTTGTGGAATTAGATAAAGGCATTTCCCACAATTTGCAAATCGTGACTCTCTTGAGCCGCATGGATTTGCCTGAAACGGGTTTTGACAAAGACCCCCCTCCATTTCCAGCAGATATTTCTTTTAGGGCTTTTGTTGACTTGATCCTGAAACCCTATGAGGAGGACTTTAAGATTTGACTCCTTTTCTTTAAGCAATAGTCAATCTAACTCATTAGGAAATGTAGATAACTCACTAGAAGAAGAAGGTTCAGCTTCGGTAGATTACATAATGGCTTTTTCTACTCTATTCTCCTTAGAGTAAGTTTTCAAATCAGGCCTACCCGATGCCCAATAATATCCCCCTGAATTTTTCCTCCAACTTCACTTTTCCCAATAATGATAGTGGTTTCAACGGTGGAACTTGAGAGAATCATCTCTTTCTGCTTATAACTCTCCCCTTAAAGAGGTGATTGTGTAATACTGGACTCAGATTCTTGAAAGGTAACATCCATGCTGATAAAGGATTTCCTAAAGGAAGGATGATAGCATTTCTACCCTAGTTGTGTTGGAGAATACCCATAAAAACACATTTAAGAGCTCTAAGATCAATTTTTCAAAGTTCCTAGTGTGAAAAAAGCATGCACACCCAAATATCTTCGGAGGAACGATATAATCATTCTTACCTTTAAAGCTTCCACAGGACTGAAAATTAACGGTTTTAAGTAGCATTATGTTGATGAGATAGGCAGCTATAAGAATGGCTTTTCTCCGGTAAGGTTTTGGTAGATTAATAGTAAACATAAAAGATCTTGTCACTTCTGACAAATGCTTAATTTTTCTTTCACCAATCCCATTTTGTGCACTAGTATAAGGACAACTAATTTGATGGAGTATCCCATAAGACTCCAAATAAGCACCAACGATTTTATTCATGTATTATGTGTCATTGTTAGTTCGCAAGATTTTTTACCTTAGTCTCAAATTGGATACAGATCACCTTATGAAATGACCAAACCATGAGAAAATTTCAGTTTTAGCTTTTAACAAATACACCCAAGTCATCCTAGTGCAACAACTAATAAGAAAAATCACCAACTACCAGACAACGAAACTGTTTGAGTAGGACCTCATACATCAATATGAATAGTCAAAAAAGGAGTTGTACTTTTATTATCATTCAAAGGATAAGAGTTTTTAGTATGCTTGAAAAATTCACAAGCATCACAAAACAAAGATTTAAACTTAGTTCTGGAAAACAAACTAGGATATAATTTCTTCAAAGCAAAAAATGATGGGTTTCCCACCCGTCTGTGCCATTGTATTATTTCCACATAGAGAGAAAAAATACACTATAAGAAAATAGGCCTTTAGCGAGGGAAAATATGGTCGTTAAAAGTCCAAATCCGATCGTTATAACATGTTAACGGCTAGAAAATATTTGGTCGTCACCGGTCGTTAAAAGCCCTAACGTTAAAAGTTAACGACCGGATTACAATCCAGTCATTATAGATCCTTTAGCGACAACATAATTTCTGGTCGTTATACATCCCTTTTAACGACAAGATTTTCCCTTCGCTAATTTGTTATACAGTCGTTAAAAGTCTTTAATGACAACAACTAATTTAGTCATTACAAGTACTTTTAGCGACCGTTATTCCCTTCGTTAGTTGTACTACTTTTAAGAACCAAATTTAAATTACGAAAATTTAAATTTTTAAATTTGATAAATAGAAATAAATATTTATATGATTTCATACACACCCAACAATACTTGAAAATAAACCAAATACTTGATATCTTTGTTAATACAAAGAACTAAAGTATCATATTTAACATAAACCAATCTGAATCGTATGACATCATTTTTAATAATTCCTAAAAGAGACATAAAATTGCAGCATATGTACAGTGTCTTTAAACCATCTCTAACAAAACATAAACCTCTTGTACTTCAACTTGCTCTACACTTTCATCAAGGATAGGTCTTCGGACTTCAAATGTTTGATCTGTTAACATAACAAATGTGTGCCAGTTTAGTAACAAAAAATAAAAAACTAAAGAAAAAAACAGATGTATGCCAATTTAATAAAGAAAGATCATATCTAGCTGTTAACATAACAAATGTGTGCCAGTTTAGTAACAAAAAATAAAAAACTAAAGAAAAAAACAGATGTATGCCAATTTAATAAAGAAAGATCATATCTAGCTGTTAACATAACAAATTAAATTATTTTTCATAACAAGTGCACGCTTAAATAGAGGCAACTTCCAATTGAAACCCAAATCAGAATGACGCATAAATGGTGCGCGGGAGAAACTAGCTCATTGAGTAAATGCCAAACAGTTGACAAACAATGACATATTATCCGCCTAGCACACTACAAAATCACCTCATATCCACATAAAAAGATTAATGTAAAAACTAATCTGTAGCTTGGTTTCACCATTTTCTTTCCAATTTCAGGAAAGTCTAAATGACTGTGTCTCGACATTCAACCTTATGAACATACAAACCACATAAAATTCATATCTTAGAAGAAGAAAACAATACAGCAAAAGTAACAACACATGAAGGTTTTCTATTTCCCGTTCAGTATCGTTCATACCTTAAACTAATTGATTCTTGAATTAATGAACAATTTATACATAAAAAAGAAAGAGTTAAGCTGTTTGAAATAGTCAGAGCTGGGCAGAGAGACATGATATAACAACACTAGCTCATGCATCGGCATTAGCATTGGCAAACTCCAACAGCTCATCTTTATCCTCAATTCTTATCAATTTTCCCAACTATTCTTAGCATTGGCAACCTCCAACAGAAGGCTATCTGTTTACTAATTCTATTAAAGGCTACATTGATGGCCATAAACAAGAAATTTAAATAATACAAAGATTAGATGACACAACAGTGGACAATATCGTAGCGGAAAAATGATGCATTAAATTTTCTATGTCTATGTACAATGATCAGAAAACTGAGACATTAGAAGAGTTGCTGACTTTGCTTTGATAAAAGGAAACGCGAGTTATTTCCTTGAAGGGAAGGTGTTTCAATCAAGTGAAAGTACAACTTTAATTTGATATCTTTTCAGCTTTAATAGGAAATCCTCTGCTTCTTTTACATCCTCCAACACTTAATCTTATCTTTATGTACCTTAACTTTATTGTAAGTTTATTTTCTTAATCTCCCCAAATGTTGATCCAGGTTGCTGAATTTTGGTGGAGCAATTCCTGTTTCCTCTACCATGTGCAAAGAAGGAAGAGGGATGTGGTCGCATCTATAGGTGATGTCACGACCAGAGTTTATTGCTGAATTGTCTTTTTAATTTCTATTTAACATTTTTATTTTGGTTATTCAGAAAGTAGCTGAGGAGATATCACACAGGGAACAATTTTGCCCAGGTATTTAACTACAGTAATTGGTAACATTTTAGCTGTCTTCAGACTTAACATACTGACAAGGAAGATAATGCAAATTGAATAAATTATTACTTTAGGATTTGTGGTAGCCATATTGTTCTATACTTTAACTGTCTTTTCCCCTTTTATCTTTGGTTGTTCCCCTAGATTTGCTTGAAATTTCCTGCCCTTTTCACCCTTTTCTAGGAAACTACGAGTGCTATCTCCACTATGAGATGAGATACAACCAGAGTCTGTGTGCGACGGATGACTTCTCCTCGGAGACTTCTACAGCAATTTGGCAACATAACAACCCAAGTTACTGAAAATGTTGTAGAAGTTTCTATGAATCACAATATCCTCTCTGCCTAGCCAGATATAATTCACATTTTTCATCTGCTAACACCATAAATAGTTCTTCAGGGTTAAATCTAGTTAAAAGGCATCTGAATTTGAACCAATGTTTTCATGTCCTACAAGTTCATATTCAATTAGCAGTCTACTGAATGAAATGATTTAGTTTCATGGTTCAGCCGGTAAACAACAACATTTATCACTTCGGCTGTCTGTTTCGGTACATGAATAAACTGTAATAATTTTATCATAGAATACAATAGGATTTCAAGCTACTAACCTGTTAAATGATTCAATCTGCTGCTCAATTGAAGATGGTGATGAAGGCAGATCAAATACTGCAATTGCAAGCTGTGCGTATTTACTGTCTAATACATCATATGGATGTTAGCCTTATGTAAGTATTGAGTAATAGTAAGATCTTTTTGCTTCAAGTTTTGGAATTGCATGTTAAAATTGAGAATCATTGTGTTAAAAGGGAAAGATAAACAACTTTTAGGATCGGTCAGTCCCAGCACATTGTATATGTTTCAAATACAAGGCCCAAGAGTTTTTTCAGTCAGTTACTCAAGATCCAGGAGTTCAAGAACTGTTAATCATTATTAGTGCTGATCCTTTTGCTTTCAATATTTGACAAGAATTCCAATGGTATGATACTCAACCTCTATTCAGTACTTCCTTTAGTTTTCCTCTAAGAAACTAAGAGCCTAACATGAACACTCCTACCTCCTGCGTTCCACCTGCACTGTAGTACTGACACTAACTTCAAACCAAAGGGTATTGCTTTAGTTATATGAGCACTCTTACACAATTAACACTAGTAGAATACAACACATTCAGGAACAGTTTTTACAGGGGCATATCAAGACATTTAAATGACATGAAACACATGGGCACAGTGAATGAAGAGACTAAAGCATGACAAGCTCACAAAGATTGCACAACTCCAAATTTAGAGGTGGAAGAAATCTAGCAGGGAAGATAAGGAAATACTCGACCCAGTTAAGTTGCTCACAGGTTACTACACTAGCATTTGGATTTAGCAAACAGAGAATACATATTTAAACTAGCACCTACTAAAAATATATTATATTAATGTTCATATCAGGTACACACAGGATGAGCAATGTCTTTGGAAGGAAGTTGTCAATGCCAAACATGGAGTCCTGAATCATTTTTGCACTAAATTATCAAGAGCACCCAATGGAGTTGGTGTCTGGAAGAACATTTGTAAGCTACGGGAAGAATTCTCAGTGAACAAACACTTTGTAGAAGGGAATGGTCAACATATCAAGTTTTGGAAGGACAAGTGGTTTGCAGTCATGGTAGAAAGGGAATTCATATAGCAATTGGATGGCGTAATATCAAACCGATTAGGATCTCATTCTCACAAATTAATCTGTCACCATAAAGTTGAATCATGATTGTCCTTCATTATCTACACTATACTGATAGTGATACCACAAAAATTCTACAGCAAAACAAAATTCAACTGTTGCATTTGTTGTGAATGAACGATGTTCCCGCAATCATAACCTGAATCTCAAACTGCCAATCAGACTAATAGTTAAAGAAACACATCAAGCATATCAAAATTCTTAAATGGTAGTACAACAAATATTCCCAACTTGTCTCAAGGAAATATAAAACTTCAAACATGGGTAAGGCTCTAATTTGGACAAGTCTAATCATTTGAGCAGGTTATTAGAAAAATTACAAGGTGAATGAAAAAGGAAAGTCTAGTTCAGTTTGGTAAACAGAAAAGGAACAAAGAAATAGTTTACCCTTTAAACATAAAACAAAACTAAAAATTACTAACTGAACCTATTCCAACTACTAAAAGTACTCAGTCTATATCATTTTCATAACCTAGTTACCGGAGAAAAGGAGAAACAATTTCTATTGGACCTTGCTACTAATGATGTTGCCTTATAAAGGCGATGGAGGAGTACATCCATATGTCCAAGAACGAAGTGGGTAGGTTGCCCTGGATTTAGGACAGTACAGTAGTCACTTATGCGACTATTCAATTTTCAGCTATCAGCGGGTGTACTCAAGTAGATTAACAATAGTGGGTATTTATTTTTGCATTGTAATTTAAGCTCTTATTTGAAGAACTTGTCTAATTAAGTCAATTAGCAGAGCTGAACAGAGGCAGAAGCGTAGGCAATTGTGCACACAATCACAATTAATCATCGTGTTATAGACTATGTCGAGAATAGAAGTGGTACTTTAAACCTCTTTCAAGAGGGAAGATGAGTCTCTTATGACTTTAGAAGGACGATGCAGGTATCGCTTTATCATTAATAATAGAATGTTCAAAAAGACGAAGTCTGTAAGTCTCAAGTCATCTTAGTTTCATTTCATAACTTCTGTTTTCAGAATATTGATACTTTTACCTTAATAAAGCTAAGTTCAACAGCTACATTGATTGACAAATTTATCAGAAAGGCTTTTGTTTCACTGTTTTTTTTTCTAACACCAGATCCCAAATAGAGACAACGAAAAGCAGAGCTTCCTCATTCAAAGTGTGCACAGCAAAGTAAACACAAACAACATAAATTATATCATGAAATTATTAACGCCAAGAGCACAAATAACTTAACAATTGACACAAAGAACACTTCACTCATACTAATGACAGATACAAAATAATACTAGCTTTTATCAATCATGTACAAAATAATGGTTTATGCAAATTGATTGCGTTAAGTAAAATAGCATAACTAACCTTTTTAGGTTGACGGTGCTTGTAACTAAAATTCAGAGTTTCTGAAAATAAGGACAACAAATAACTTTGTTTTGTCAATAATGTACATGTAATCACGGATAAAAGAATTGCAGTACCACGTCGGTATAGGAAGTTACAAAACTAGGTGTAATAATCTCTGAACCAACAAACATTAATTAATATAACTTAGTAGTTCATAAACACCGTATGCAACAACATTATCACAAAGCACATGCAGTCACCTTTCATTTCGTGTTAATACGTTTAACACTCTACAAAATACAGCTACGTAGGAATATGACTTCATAGCTACACAGCAACGTCAACTATCATTGAACTGTCATGAATTAGAACCAGCAGTTAATCCATGAAAATTCACCTCCTTGAACTAGCTAACAAAATGCTATTTCAGTACCAAACCAGAAGCACCCAATATGGATCTAATCAAAAGCGCAATCCAACAACATACTGTTTTAGTGAACAAAGACTTTCCAACTAATTCATTATCAAGATATTCTCTTAAAGGGCAACTCTAAAACAAATTGAGAGAATCAGCAAGAAAGTTTTACTTAATTTTAAATGAATGAATTCGTAAAGAAATCAATTATCTAACCAAACAATTTATACCCCAAACTCAACGNTATATATTAGTTTTATATCTATGTATATGAAAGAAACTTAACCCCAAAATTAGAGGAGTAATAGTCGAAAATCAGAGAAGAAAACTTAAATCTTTGTATATCTCTTTTTGTATTTTTTTTTTTCTGAAATTCAAAACGCGAACATAAAATCTAAGAAGAAAACTTAAGAGCAGAGAAGAATTTTGCCCTTAAAACCCTAGCTTTTCACTCACTTTTTCTGTTCGAAATTAAAAATTGAATTTGAACAGCCATGGTTTGGAACTGAGGTTTCATCTAAACTAAAATTAACATAAAAAGGGTACAATTTCGAACCTTACCTTGATGAGAAGAAACTCGAAGTTGAGAAGTTGTTTTAATGGAGGTGACCAAAATTAGTGTTCACAACAAGAGAAATACGACAGGAGAAATAGCAGGTTTACCAAAATAAGTTTAGGGTTTTTTCCTTCTTTTTTGGGGGTGGTTGGCGATCCAGGTGTGGGTTTGGGAAAAAGAGGTAAATATTAGCGCCATTTTTTATTAATTAATTGTTTAACAACAGGCTATGTTATATTTTAAGGGCTAAATACTATCCCTCGTTAATATTGAGCTAATAATTAGTTTTAACGACCGGAAGAAAATTTGGTTGCTACAAGTACACTTATAACGACCGGATTTATATCCCTTCGTTAAGAAATGGTCATTAAAAATCAAATTTCTTGTAGTGATAGATATACCTGATAATAGCGTACAACCCTAGGATGTTGTACAGCTGCAAGTATTTTCACCTCCCTATGAAAAACAAACATTTTTAGTTTGAAAACGTACAATAAAGTTTTCTTATGCTAAACAAACAATATTACCTTAATTTTTCCTGAAGCTGCTGATCATTAAAAGGTATCTTCTTCACAGCATACAAAGACTCGTCAAGTCTATGCTTGCATTGATAAACAATTGCGAATCCACCTTTCTTCCTTCGGAAGGAAACATGTTTATGATTGTTCAGAAAGCAAATATAAGATACACCAACCTTTTGAAGGTTATAAACTTCTATGAGAGTTTGAAAAAAGATATAAGATACACCAGTCATTTCAAGGTTTGTAATACCCATCACTCAATCATCTAGAAATTATCAAATTAGGAATTAAGACTCCTGTACTTGGAAAAGTACCAGCAAATTAATTTCCTTGTTGAGCATGGTTTTATGTCAAATCCTTCCCATTTCTATATGAAGCACCACTTGACATAATTTACTCAAACTAAGATCTCGGAGAAACATCTTCAAAGTAGCATTCTCTTGTTCCTTTCTGGTAAGATTCTCATTAGCTTTGATTCTATGATCAATCTTCCTAATCTCACTTAAATTGTTTTATTCCACAAAAGCTCTTAATTTACTCATTGCTTCATATGCCAAATTCTTATACCCAAAACCTAGCATATAATTAAACCACAAAAATTTATGGGTTTTGACCAAAGACCCAGAAATATGATTTTTGAAAATTGAACTAGTCTGGTATTTTGATGAAACCTAGTCGATAGTATTAACTAACTTGGGCCTTCCTTTGGGGGCTAATCACAAAGCTGAGTTTAAAATCATAGTACATGGTAAAGATACGTAGGCTGACTCGATCACGTTTAACATGGTTTTGGTTGGTGGCATATCATGCTATACTTTGACTATTATGCCAACGTTGTGAAGTTGACATTCCAAATGAGCTACACTATGTTAAAGGGTGCTTCAGTGGTGCCTTCGAGCAAGATCATGTAATAAATTAAAACTCAGTGGATGATCAGTAAAGGTTGTCTTGGATTCATACTACAGTCCAAGACACTCGAGTTGAGACTCCAACTCTCGGCAGAGACCCTGTTGTTAGTGTATACCCAAATATTGTTCCCAAATGATCTACTGTGTTTGCCAGCCGATAGGGAGATGGTTAGCACCGGGTACATAGCCTTTCTTAATCCCCATATCGGATGGCTCTAGCCGAGCTAAGGGAGGTTGGAAAAGCATCTACAAGACCTGCTTTATAAGTGGTTCATCAGAGCGAGTGTTTCACCTCAAGGTACACCAATTCTATCTGTGATAAAGAAAGATGGTCCACTACAGATATGCCTTGACTATCGACAACTGAACTAGATGGTCATAAAGAACAAACATCCATTGCCTCACATTGATGACTTGTTCGACTAGTAACAAGGAGTTATGCACTGTTCTAAGATTAATTTAAGATTGGACTATCATCAGTTGAGGATTAAGAGTGATAATATTCCTAAGATAACTTTCAGGGCCACAGAGGGGCATTATGAGATTCTTCTGATGTCCTTAGAGATTACCAACACACTAACAACCTTTATGAACCTCATAAACAGAGTGTTCAAATCGTTTCTTGACCCTTTCATGATCGTGTACATCAATGATATCTTGGTCTATCCCCGCAACTAAAGGAAAAATGAAGAGAATTTGAGGCTAGTCCTACAAACACTAAGGGGTCATTTTGTTCAATACCAGGATATTCCAAGATTATAATCCTCGGGTTATAACTAGGATTATAACCTCGATAACTTATCTTACCTTTTATATGGGATAAGTTATACCAGGATTTTGGTATAAAAATAATACCGATTTTAGCTAATACCTCCAACCAAACACGGAATAAATTTAACCCAAAACTTATATCGGGACAACCCACCTAATCCCTTCAACCAAATGACCCGTAAGAGAACAAAAGTTTTATGCCCACTAAAATATTTAGCTTTGAAATTTGAGAACCGGAGATGACAAGGTTGAATGGAACTCATAAAGAGCAATCTAGCTTTGAAATTTTAAATAAAGGACTTAGGCCCACTAAAATATTTGATTGGCATGAAGGTAGCTCGATCGAAAAAGGCAATTACAGTATCACAAAGGAAATATGTGATTAACTTACTCAAGAAGAATAGAATGAGAAAGAGCGTGTCTTGCTTAGCTAAATTTAAGTAGCTTTTAAGCGTGTTGAAATGCATTTTTAAGGGCTAGAGCTGGTTTGGTGAATAAGCATATACGTGTGCGGATATAAGTGTTGAACCAAAAAAAAGCAGCTGATGTTTTAGGTGAAAAAAAGCTGATAAGCACTTTTTCTTTTAAATGACTGAAATATCATTAAATCTGTCAACACTATAAAGGAGCTCACTACTGTAATATTTTAATTTTAAATTTTAATTCAAATACAAACTAATTTATGTCTCAATTCACTTCAAGTTATAAATTGATTAGATAAAATTATGTTTAAGTGACAAACATTCACGATGTGATTACAACTGCTCATGAAATGAAAGTACAAACTGAAGACTGATATGTAAACTTGTGATTCTGTTTTTTCAGCAAACATGTAGCGTGCAAAAGTGCGAAAACTGTCCCCCTTTTAGAACCATATGTAGATAAGTAGTACACTGGAACTCTGGAAGTAATCTTTTATTGGAAAATAGGTGAAAACAAAGACACAAAGAAAAAGTAAAAGCATTCTAAAATATCTAACATGTACAGAAAAGAGACTTTTCTTTGTATCTTTTTTTTTTTATGAAGTAAGTTGTTTCATTAACAAAAGTCATCTAGGGGATGTAACGTTACAAGGAAATTGAAAGGCATAAATAGTACTAAATGTTAGTCCCTCTACATCTTGTCATTCTAAAGACAAAGGAGCTAACAAAATCCATTAATTGGTCAGTACTGATTACAGTAGCTAACTTAGTCCAGCAAAAAAGATTGAGTAAGCATTTAGCTTTGAGAGAGTGATTTGGAGTTAAGATTCCATCAAAACATCTGCTATTCCTCTCATTCCATAAACACCAAAAAATAGCAGCAGGGATCATCAACCAGATCTTTTTGATGGTCTTATCAACTCTCCATAAACTCCAGCTCATGTGTGCATCTCTCAAATTCTGTGGCATGACCCACTTCAAACCAGAAAGACAGTAGAACATGTTCCAGAGGTCGGTGGCCACTGGGCAGTGCAAAAATAGGTGGTTGACAGTTTCCTCATTCTCCATACAGAGGTAGCATCTATTGACCAACTGAAAACCTCTTCTGTTTAGGTTGTTGTGTGTTAAACATGCCTCATTGAGCGCAATCCAGTTATGACAAATGACTTTAATAGGTAGCTTAGTCTTAGCCTTTTCTTTGTATCTTTCTGCAACTAAGCTGTAATTGACTTTTGAGGGACAAAAGAGAACACACATAATATACAATTTAAAATCAATAATGGTGTCAGCGAGCATTTGTCCGTCGATGGAGAGATGGAAGGATGAGAAATCAACATAGGACAGGTAGTGCATTTCAGAAACGAGTGGAGTTAGGAATTTTCATGGTGAAGGATATTTTTGAATTATAAGAAAGTGTGAGGGATAGCAATGTAAAATACTTGGTCAAATTTAAAGAGCTTTTAACTAAAAAGTCATAAGTGAGGGTCCAATCTATGGTTTTTGGCTTGTTTTGGCTTAAAAGCATATTTGGTGTACATCAAAACAAGTCGAAAAGTGCTTTTAAGCTGTACCAAAAGCTAGTTGGCAAACTTACCTATCACATGAATGGCATGATATAGCATTCGCCGCGAGTCTAAGTCAATTATGAATTCACCCTATGAAGAGAATCTTGCCACAGCCTACCATATCCTGATATACTTGAAGAATTCTACGGGAAAATGCTATATTTCGGAAGAAATGCACACGTATTGAAGCACACATACTGACTAAACAGGATCCATTTTGGTAAGAAGGTCCACATTAGATTATTATACATTCATATGGCAAAACCTAGTAACTTGAAGAAGCATATAACAAAATGCAGTAGCCCGCATCAGTACTAAAGCAGAATATAGATCTACGGCACATAGAATATGTAAACTGGTGTGGCTTAAGTGAATTTTGGAGGAACTAAGAAGAACATAGAGTATGCCTATGAAACTGTACGGTGACAACCACGCAGCCATCAGCATTGCTCACAATCTTGTTCAACAGGGTAGAACAAAATATATTGAAATTGGCAAACACTGTTGGGAATAAACCCCTACAGAAATAATATTTACGGTAATAAAAGCGGAATAATAACGTAGCACCGAGATGCGGTAATTAACAAGAATAAAAGAGTGACAACGACACAAATTTTTACGTGAAAAACCCTTTTGAATAAGGGAAAAACCACGGCCCCGAGATGAGCAACTGATATCACTATAGCAAGAAATTTTACACTTTGTAGGTCCGAGTTAAATACTCCAAAGACCACTACAACACTCAAAAGAAATAACCCTCTTTTGATATTCCCACCTCACTACAATATCGCTCACTCTCTATTTTCCTCACAGACTATTTTCTTATACCTTGTCTGTGAAACCTCACTCTTTCTTTCTCTCTTTGTTGGTGTGTAGAAATGAGAGTTGAAGCTCTCCTTTTATAGCCGAAGTCTCACTCTCTAAAGCCTACTATATTTGACAATTTACACGCACTTTTCCTTCTTTTTCTTCAATGTTGACAATTCAACAAAGTTGGCTACCAAACCGAAGAAATTAAACAAAGTTGGCTACCAAACCAAAGAAATTTTCCTTAGGCACATGCCTATTACTTTGGCTTTTGAATTTGATGGACCCCATAAATCTCCCCCTCCAGTATCATTCATCTAGAGGAGGTAGCACTGTCTTCTAGTTTGAGTGCATGCCGACAAGTTCTTTGCATAGCTCGAACTTGTCTCGTGCTACCACCTTGGTTAGCACATCTGCGAGATTCTCAATTGTAGAAATCCTCAAAACTTTTAGAGATTCATTCTCTACTATTTCTCGAATCCAATGATATTTCACGTCGATGTGTTTGGTCCTTGCATGGTACATGGAGTTCTTGCTAAGGTCTATTGCACTTTGACTGCCACAATAGACGACATACTCCTTCTGATGCAATCCAAGCTCTTGAAAGAACCGTTTCAACCATATCATCTCCTTGCCAGCTTCAG